TGCTGGTGTTTGGTCAGTTTAACATGGTGTTTAGAAAGAGGAAAAAAAATTCTTTTGTATGGGGAATTCTGGTGTTTTGACAATTTAACAGTAGCCTCAAAAAGTTTACAGCATACAAGTCAGATTCTTCCCCAATGGTATTTTACTGTATTTCCTTTCCCCTTTCCCCTTTCCCCTTTTCTTCCCATACCATGTCACTGGAATTACCTAGCAGCACATTTGACCTGATTTAATTAGTAGCAAGTCCCCATGTTCCTCCTGGATCATCAATGGCACCTTGTTACCTTGAATGACATAATTATCCAATCTAAGACTGTTGTCTTTCCTAACTTGATGCAAAGGCAGTAGGTGCTTAGTGGCCCTAGCCTGTTTCTCCTGAAATCCAGTATGTGAGCAGTTAAGCCACCAATGACTACTTCAGGAAAGCCCATATGGTTGAGACTGGAATAAAAGAGATAGTAATGGGACTGATACTAGCAGAACTCATAATATAACATTTTGACAAAAAAGGCAATTTAGATCTAATTTTGTGGAGTTTTTCCCCAAAACCTACAATTGTGACAACCTTAGAATTCAGTATGAATTTATGGAGGAGATAAATTAAGAAGTCCTTTGTATTAAAACAAATATTCCTCTGTTCCTCCTGGGGAAAAGCTGCAGAAATTTTGCAGGGAATTTTGGAAACACAGCCACTTCCAAAGGTGGAGTAGAAAATCCTCCTAGTTGTCCTAGGTGATAGAGTTGTCTCTAGGATGAGAGAAGCCTTCAAAAGAAACCTAGTCCTGGGATTGACTGCGCTTTCCAACAATCCTTCTTAGTGTAACTGGCCAGACAACAGAACAGATGCTTTGTTATTGTACTGATCATACAAGTTGAATGCAATTTCTTAAAGAGCTGCTTTGAATGGTATTTTGCACCAACTAGATATGGTGCCACGTGACAAATTACAACAAATGTGTCTTCCTTAATCCCTTCCCAGTGCTTGCACCTGCCCAGGGCACTCAGGAACGTGGCTTCTTGTGTTGCAGTAGAAAACTCAGTTATGTGAGTGATTCTACCACTCTTTTTACTTGATGCAAAATTCCTCATATAAAGGTAAAATAAAATTGTGCAAACTTGCTTACTTGATGAAGGTCAGAACTGGATGATTTCTCAGCAAATTACAAGTGAAATAGTTCTGTTTGTTAATGTTCCACACCCCTTTCTCCTTCCCCCACCACCCACAGACTGTGCCCCCTGGAAAAATACACTGCCCATTAAAAGGTTTCATTTAATCCTACGTCTCATTAAGGTAGTCTGAGTGACAGTGGGTTACTATGAACTGAAAGAGCAGAGCTTTGCTCTCAGCACCTTTCCATTAAAAATGACATTTGAGATAGGAAAAAAAGTCATAGCATAAACCATAGGAAATATGCTTGTAAAACACTCCAGTGATCAAGCAAACCTGATCCTGGGAATAAAATATACAATATGTACAAACGGAGGATAGGCTTTTAAAGCACATTCAAGTACAGATAGTCCTCAAAGCATCCAGTTATTTTTCTCTGTTTCTGCAGAAATAGGATGTAACAATACAGGAGAACTGAATTGGTGGTAACTAACTAGAGAGAGGCTGCGTCACAGGCAGAGAGTGTCCTTGTCAGTCATGAAAAATACAAAAAGATAAGTTACTAACTAAAGAAATGCAATAAAAATGATCATTTCTGTTCTGTTTCCAAATCTAAAGACTTCTTGCAAGATACTCTGTCCTAGAAAAGAATAAATTAGGTTACATTTTCCTCACAAAAGTAATCAGCTTAAAGCAGAAGAACATATATTTGGAAAGTGGTTGAAAGAATGAGAATATTGTAGAAGAAATATGGAGAATAGGATCATTCTGTCCAGATGGACTAAGGAAGACTTATTTACCTCAGTTAAACAGGACAAATAGAAATTCTGAGAAAGTTTGTGAGTGAATCCTCACCAAATGCTCCATTTCAAAAAGCATGTGTCTACCTGGAAAGGAGCGTGGGCTGAAGTGCCACAGCTGCTTGCTCAAACTTCAACCAAAGCCCAGTTCTGGGCAGAGTTGTGGGAGCTTCTGCGGGACAAGGAAATGTCTCTGGCTCTCAGCATGCTTGCCAAGGCACTACATTGGCTTTACAAAAACCTTGTGTTTAGACCCTCTGACAGCTGGAGGTGGAAAAAATCGGCCAGAGATTAACAGCTTTGGCTGGCTGCTGCAGGCTACCAAGCACACACAGAGCCCTATCACCACAGGAGCTCTGTGCTCTCTGTGGCCTGTGTGGTGCTTTCCTCCCAACTATGTCCATGGGGCACTCTGAAGATACGAAAAGCAAGAGCCATGATGTGGTTTTGATACCTATATGGAAGCGTATGGTCCTTGGTATTTCCTTGCTTCCCCAGGTGGTCTTTGAAACCCTGAACAAATGAAGGACCCAGTTAGAGAGAGGGCGGATTTTGAATGCAGTCTGACAGCGACTAGTTCAACCCCATCTGGGACTGAACCCTTGAACTAGAGAGGTGCCAGCGCTTAAATGCTCAATGTGGACTCACTTCCAGCATACTAAAAGACGTTCTTTTTTTCCAGAACATACTTGCTGCTAAAGAATTTGGCCTTGGATGGGTGCAGATGATACAGAAAATTGGTGTTGGTGTGTCTAGAGTATATGCAGGATTATTACACAAAGATTGCTGGCTTGGAGAGATGAAGATTCCAAAAACCAAACCAAGCAATGATTCTTCTAACAGCAGAACTATTTCAGCTGTTTCAGAGAGTTTTTTTATTTCAGCCTGGTGCTAGATCGGAGAGTTCAGTTCTGCAGATTACTGTCTACCAAATGCCACTATAGATGTCTGTTTATATGTCTCTGGGAACCCTTGAGTTGCTTGTGGACAAATGGCTAATGGCTAGCTAAATGGCTAATGGCTAATTAGCTCTTGATGAGTTAAATGGCTCATCAAGAGGATTGGTAGCACTAATAAAAAAGGGATTTTATCTCCAGGAGAGAAGTACAAAATTTGACAGACACTTTGCTTGAACCTCCATTAAGAACTGAAGCTAGCTGAAAAGAAAACTAACTTGCTTGCTTTGCTCTGCATCTCCCCTGAGTTCAGTGTTTTCCTCCTTTGCTCTATGGGGCAGTCAAATTTTCTGTGTAATCCTATGGTAAATTCAAATTTCAGAGGCATGGAGATTTCTGAAATGGTTTCCAGATAAATCTCCTGCCCCATGCTTATGGGGCATTTGATCATTTTGTTCTAAATACATAGTATGCTTTCCTGGTTATGAACAGAATAAGAGGGTAAGTAGGGTGAATAAGGTCTTTCCTGAAAGGAATCAGTGTATTCTTTTACTGGAGCTCTAGAGCACATTCTGCTTTCTGTAGGTATTATTTCTCTTCAGGTTTTCTAAATTGTTTCATAATTTCATGCCTTTTATTTGAAAATATCAGATCATCTATGTTAAGTTCTGGGCATTTCTGAGAGCTGTATTCATACTGCTAATATTTATTTTGAAAACAAGTAAGTGAAAGAAGGCATAAAGAAGATGCATTGACTGAAGTCTAGAAACTGGGTAAGTTTCTTGCTTCCTTCCTTCACCAGGCATTAGGAAATTGGACATGGATCACCTTCCAAAACAAGCACATATCTCTCTATATAGATACCTCTCTGCATAATAGCAATCAGAAAATAATCCATGTGAATCAATGTGGATCAATGCTTGCTGTTGTTATATAAATAATGTGGATCAATGCTTGCTGTTGTTATACAAATAATATTTGGCACTAGGCTGAATAGTTCAGGCAATTTGTATCAGAATGCTAATGAAACAGGAGAACTGTAACTAAAGCAGAATTATCGTTTCTCCGGAAAAGGAATTCTAAAATCATCATCAACAACAAAAATACCCTTCACGCACAGATGTCCTTTTTCTTTAATTGTTAGGATTTCTCTGTTTCTGTAAAAGTTGACAATCTTTTTGGTTTACAACTTCAAACTTTCACTGGAATGACAGAGTCTAGAAATGTCCTTTTCTTAAATAAGCTGTGATTCTCACATAACCCCACACCTCCAGGAGATTTACATAAAAACTAGAGACCAGTGACCAACTCACTAGATTTGGCAGTGTTGCAGATAAATAACAAGCAAATGCTCTAAGGGAGCTTCATGAATGCTGAAGGAAGGGGCTCTCTGGGCTAGTGGCTACTACTTTCAAGAATATGGGGAAGTTCCTTTGTATTCTTGGCTCCAAAGAACTGCTGGTTGCAGAGGTCACGTCTTGCAGATGCTGAAGAGACACAGAGCATCTCTTTCTGTTATGTGGAAACTATTAATTTCAGTATATGAGCTGAGTCTTGGAGACATCTGCTCAAGCATTCAGTAGGCTTTTTGAACAATCGCCTCATGGCTTACACTTTCACAACACAAACATATTATTAAAAAAATACACTAATTTCTTCTAAGAAATTGTTTGCATTAAGTAAAGGTTCACCTGGTTAAAATGTAAGCACTGCCAAATCATACAGAGACAACAAAGTTTCCATTGCTATGGAAACAAGGCTAAAGATGGCTTATGCTGTGAAAAACAACTTACAAGTGACTGTGAAAAGCAAGTTTATAAGGATGACACCTTTTGGGTTGATCTTGATAGACATGATGCAGCACAAGCATTTTGGTTTAGAATGTTGTTTTTATTCATTTTTCCACCTTGACAGGTAACTTTCACCTCTACTCATACAAGACATAAAAAGATTATCAGTGTACATGCAGGTAGACAGACATCAGTCAGTACAAACAAAAACTTTTCTTATCAATCACATTAGCAAAATCTCTTCATGCCCATCTAGTGAAAGAGGAACTGCTAAATCAGGATAGAATACTGATCATAATAAATTTTCCTTTATATGAGTGAAGTTATTCATAAAAGAGTTAAAAAATCTAGTATCTAGTGTTTAAACAAAACATACTTTATACATTTGGCTAAACATCGTACCTTGCCAAATGAAAAAAATGCTTTCTAACCATAGCTTCACTAGCAGCTTGGTAGGTATGTGAGGCATGCAGTTCATTTCCTGCCACGGCTGAGAAAAATAGGTAGGTCTAAGATAATATTACTAGTGTGCCTGAAAAAGATCTTAGCTCTTAATGTTGTAGCTGACTGCATACATATGTTTTGGTTTTTGGTCTCCTTCAGGAATATCCCAGGTAAGGCTGTTGGTCTGGCTCCATTTTAGCTCTGAATGATGGAGGGTGCAGCGGGAGACTGAACAGGATTTTCCAAAGCATTGCAGTCATCTGTAAGGAACACCAAGTCCTGGAGGAACAAGGGAGATAAATAATGTTATAAGGAGGAAGGCACAAAACAATGAAATTTTCAGATGCTCAGGGCCCGAGTCAATGTGGTTGAAGTCAGGGGACACAGGGAGATGGAGGGGGTGAAAAGCAGAGGCTGCATCCCTGCTGTTGCATCTGGACCTACCCTTCTGCAGTAGGAGATCATAATGGTGTACAGGCTGCGGGCTTTTTCCTTCAGAGCACCCACTTGAAGCATTCTGTCACATCCGGGGTATGCCACAAAATCACGGAGCTTTGCCAATACACAGTAATTCTGAAGAACAAATCAAGGAGATATTTATAACACCTCACAAATGCAGCTCTATGTTCATCACTCGTTATTTAAAAATTCTTACTGCCTTGTAAGAACCTTAGATTCCTGTTTCTAACCTATATAAGCCTTTAGTTAGGAAAACTAATTTCAAAACATAAATGTCTGCTCAAAATGAGTGCTCAGGAAAGTGTATTTTGGTCTGCCACCATCTTTCCCACATGCTTTAGGAGGGAATCATGCTTTAGGAGATATCAGTGCTGGTACAGTCAGCTCCTGTAGCTGGTGGAGTTACAATATAGATGCATTGAATCCACTTTAAGAAAGTTGCTCTCTTAGTTGCTGAAAATTATTATCAGGGGTTCCCAGGCATCAATTCTGTGTTCCCATAAAATAGCTAATACTGGGAGCACTGGGGAAATTTTTTCTCAGAGTAATTCTCCTTCATACCTTGTGTTATCAAAGCAAAGCATTGATAGCCTTAACTTCACAACCCTCCTTGTAAGGCAGGTAAGTAAATATCCCTGCTCCAATTCTAAAGTAAAGCACGGGAGCTGCATTGCTTCATCTTTGTCACAAAAGAAGCTCTGGCAATCCTGGAATTGGAACCCACTGACTCTTGGCTTGCGAGACTTCACAGTGTAATCACTCCTGCAAAACGTGTCAGACATTTCTTGTCTTGTCTGATATTTTTTATTTGTTAGTTGCTCAGGGAGTGCTGGGAACATAAGTGTGTCACTGTCCCAGGACACAATGCTATAATATAAACTACTTGGGCAGGAGATTATTTGTGTTCCCTGGAGATAACTAAGACTGTCTTTGCTCAGTATCACACTTCTATATTCTCTGAAATATTTTTTTTTCTTTCTGGTTTCAGCAAACGGGTATTTAAAAAGGAAAAGCTAGCAAAATATTCCTTCACTCCCACTTACTAAAACTGCAGTGCTGGTGGCACACGTGCTATAGAACAAAATAAAGTAAGATTGATTTTACTTTTTTTTCCCCTTTATAAAATTACTTTGAGAATTCTTACTCCTTAAAAGGTACTGCCATAATAAACTAATAGTATGCAGATAGTAATCACTTCAGTGTTACCTCATTTTTGAATCTTTAAACAAGCATAATCTCTGACGCTTCACAGGGATTTTAATAAAGACCCCAAATAATATTTCTTTTTTTTTTTTATTCCCACCTCTCCAGTTAATTAAGCTTTGAAAAATAATTTTCAAAGCACTCTTCTGTGGTAGAGTCTAAGCAGTTATTCTCTTTTCATTAGCAGATTTTACTGCACAGCAACAAGAAAGAACAGTGAAAACTTACATGTATGTCCAAATACAGCTTGGGCAGCATCTCCACACATGGGTCCTGCAGGAAAGAAGAAAGACCACTGCATCTTTGTTTTTGTGGAAATTTCTGCCAGAAACTAGCAACCCCAAGTTTCTTTGCAGGAACAGTTTTCGGATAGACTCACCGTCTCTCCGGAGGTCTGTAAATCCCTAAAAGACTCCGTAATTTCTTTGCTCAGAGCCAGCACTCTCGAGTAGCAGGTCGGAGGAGCTGAGCTGGTGAGGAGGACAGCAGAGAGCAGAGCAATCAGCCTCAGCAGCATCTTCATCTTGTCGAAAGAAGGGGAAAGTGAGGGGAAAAAATTACTGTCAGTGGTTGTGCAGCTACCGGTGAGCCTCAATAGTTAAGTTTGGCAAGTCAGACCCCAATTAAATAGTCTCCTGCATTGACGGAAAAAAAAAATGCCTGGGAGTGGTCCAAGCAGCAGCTCGCTGCTGTTTTGAATTTCCTGTCAGCCTCCGAGCCCAAACTCCTAGCACTTTCCTGCCCTGGAGCAGGGGAAGAGGGACTGGGGATAGCAAAACAAACACTATGTTATTCCAGAGAGAAAACAAGCTAGCGAGCATCTAGAGGAACACGACTATGTGTAATAAACAGCACGGAGTTATCAAAGGGTCACAGGCCTTGATCCTGTGTGTGTTTTGGCACATACCTCTTCTTGGGAACATAATATACAGCCCTGGGACTACACAAGCTGCGTAAAGAGAAGTAGCCTCACAGGGCTGGTATTTGATGTTGATAGTATTGGTTAGATTGGTTACTGGAATAAAGGAGATCCCCGATATATTTTCTCTTTTCAGTCTATGCCCGTGCTCTGCATTTCTTAATGAAAATAATAGCACTTATTACCACTGGTTGGAGGGATGGTATATTTATATATTCATGGTCTCAAATAGATTAATACACCTCTATAGGACTGTCATAAGTCTATAAACACCACTTTGCTTTCTGAGCCAAATTTACGAAACTCTCTTTTTTCAGTGGTTTCCAAAGTGAACTGATACATCCAGATACTGTGATGCAGGCATAAGGGTTGAGTTGGTTTTAGATGTTAACTGTCTCATAAAATGGAAGTGCCCTTGAAAGAAAATCTGACTACATGTTAAAGACAAACAACTGTTTGTTCCTCAGTGCCACCAGTTTCAAGGCAGACAGCAAACTGCACAGCCCCTTGGCATTGGAACAGACTGGGAAGGTGCAGCTGAATTTGGGAGAAGGGGAAAAGATCAATAACTGTACACACCTGTACAAAGCAGGGCTTCCATCCAGCCAATTTTTATAGGAAATTGAGGTTTTGAAAACAGATTTTAGGGGAAAGATGGATTTTGCCTGTTGCAGAGGGCTCTTCCTTAAATTCTCCCAAATACCTGGAGGCAGAGGAAGGGAGAACTGCATCCTGTTCCCTTGCTTCGTATTTCTTTGCTTTGTAAAGAATGATGCATTTAGTTAAATCATGTGCTTCTGAGGGTCAAATGATAAACAAGAATATCCAGTGAGGAAAGAAATATGTAAAGTGTTAAGAGTAGTGGGTATTTTAGGGCTGGCTTTGGCAAATGGGCTGCTAGGACTTATTTTCAGAAAAGGGATTTGCTTAGGCAAGTGAATGAAGTCCTCAGAGAAAAAGAGGCAACTTTCTTCAGTAGAAAACAAGAAGATCCCAGTGGATCTACCGTGTGAAGTCAAAACACAGATGCTTGGTGCATATTTGCAAGGAAAGGATGCATTTTTATGCAAGGCTTGTCAGTAAAGAAATAAACTCTTAATCACTATCTCATTACTGTAAACAGGAGCTTAAACTAGTAATAAAATATTACTCTTCTATCACATTCTCATTTGGCAAGCTGTGTAGCTGCTCTGCTAGAAAAGCAGATTTCTGAACAGTATTAATGCTCTCTCAGTAAAAGAAATCTTCAATCCAGCCATACAAAGGTTTTCAAAATGAAGATTATTATTATTATTTTTTTTTTTTTAGTGTGAATGATACTCTCTTTCCTCATGTTTTACCTGGAGGTATTGACCGTCCAGTGACAACTCCATTTTAAATCACAGCAGAACCCCACGGCTCATGTTCTAAAGCAGAGTTAAATGTCAACGTGCCTACTACAAACCTGGCTGCATGGCCAACTGTTCTCTGCTGGGAGTCAAGCACTGGCAAAAGTAACTCTCCAAGTGTGGTATTTCAGACTGATTCAGGTTACTGAAAGATATTGAACACTGCCAGTCTGTGGGATGGTGCTCTGGAGGTCTCATCCAGCACCCATGCCTGGGGAAAGACTCACAGCATCAAACCATTAGCTCCAAGGAATCATTTGGAAAGGAAGTGCTGAATCCCTGTGCAGCACTGAGGAATTTATTTTGAATTTTGTATTTATTTTGCCCCAAAATGGAAAGACGTGGGATTCATTTCTCAATCTCAGAAGGTGCAAATTCTTGTTTCCCACATCCCTATTGAATGCCTTGGTCACTAAGCTGCAAAGTTGCATCTTGAATTCTTTGAGACACCTCTCACATGTGACTCAGAGAGCAGAGCATGGATCTAGGCTTTACTGAAACAACTAACCAAGTCCCCAACCCACTTGCTTTGTTAAATTGTGGAATACACTTGCTGTGTATTCCAGCAAGACTGCTGGAATAATTTGCTCTGAAGATTTGGCTCAGCTGTATCTCTCCTGCCTTGTAGATTCCCTCTGATCCTACAGAAAATGAAAGAGAGAAAAGACATCTATGAAGGTCTCGATAGTCAATGAAGGTAGCATCCGAAGGCTCCAATGGTTTGGGTGTCACTATCTCAGTTTCACATCAACTCTTCAAGCTGATGTCGTCACCACAGCCCCTTAGGGCTGCTTACAGTGTATGTATTTACTCTCGGTTTATAAAGAATATTCCATTCCAATGTAAACACACAAGCCAAGGCTAGTTGCCACTCATGACATGACTATTTATTTGTGTATTCTATTTATTTTTGAGCCATGTTTTCTCCTTGCTTCTATTTTCCTGAAAGCTCAAACAATAATATTTTTCTAAAAGTCAACGGACTTGCTATGTAGGCAGAAATTCCTCCCATGTTTGAACAGTATGCCAGGGCTTCAACCAACATTTGAGAAAAGCCCTTTCAAGTTGCTGCCTTCCCAGTACTAAAATCCACTTGCCTAACAAAAAATGTTTATTTTAAAATAGTTGGAGGCTGCCATGAGGCACTTCATGAAGTGAGCTTCTGATTATATTGAAAACTAGCAAAAGAAAAAGAAAAGCAGAACAGTGCTTTACAGAGCAAGCCTTGTGTACTTAGGCACTGAATCAAAGCCCCGTGACTCAGCTTGCTGTTGTGTGTAAGGTGCCACTTTCTGCTTCAGAGCTGGAACGGCCTTGCAAGCTTCAGCCTAAGCACGGCGTCATTTGGAGGCTTCTGCAAAACCTTGGAAATTTGGGGTAAGGTCCTTCCTGAGCTGGTGTTAGGGCACACTGTTGTACTTGCACTTTGGTGAGCTGGGACCTGCAAGGGGCAGCACGATACCAAGCTCAGGGTGCAGGAGGGCAGGAGATGTGGGAGGAGAGGAGCCTGCCTCAACACAGGGGCTCCAGCCCCTCTCTTGTTGCTCTTCACAGGTCTCCACCGGAGAGGACAGGAGCGAGGGGGAAGGTTGGGCCTGGCAGTGCTGCTGCTCTTACAACACTACTTAGGACCACCAAGCTGTGTTTTTCCTCTCCTCTGCTTGCACCGTGACACAGCTCTCTTTCTCCTACACTGCTGTCGTTATTTCCAGTATTTTTAAAAATTTGCATACATATTGAAGAAACAGATGTTACTGCTCAGCAGCCTGTTTTTAGATAAAGCGGTTATAGAAGCAGCTAAGTCATCTGGATCACTAGGAGAGACTGGATGTTCTGCAGCCTGCAGGCCTTGCTGGTACAAACCTGGCAGGAGATGCTTTTACCCGCAGGTAAACTCTTGGAAATGTCCTGTGGCCTCAAACCAGGGCAGGACTGTTCAGCAGCGATGCCCTAGCCACAGGTCAGGGAACAGGAATTATTTCGGCAATAGACAGCCGTGGGGAATAAGTCAAGCTGTTCCTTTGCCCTCCACATCTCCATGCAAATGTTGCAGATCGCTCAAGGTCTTGTCCCTGCTGGGGAGCATCCAGTCCCCCAGTTACATTCACGATGAGAAATGCTGCTGGCCAGTGAGGAATATATCAGAGGCAAGGCAAAAAAATGTATTCCTCTACTAAATTTATCCCTGGTATAAGCCCACAAGGGAACTCAAGGGTTGAATCAATGCGAGGCCTGCGCTACCCGCTCGCGGAGGTTGTCCCTCCAAGGAACTCTTGTCTGTGCTGTGCTTAATCGGTAAGTAAACGAGGGACTTCATTTGCAAGGAATGGTATTCCCACACCTTTCAGAAGCTTTGTGTCACTGGAAGAAAATAAATGGAGGGAACTGAAAGTGCCACTGTATATAGTAACTTGGTCCAAGCTAAACAGGAATCCAAATAGACTTCCCTGTTGATCTACAGCATGCATGGGAGCTTTCTCGGTACATGCTTAGCATGCTAGCAGGTTCAGTTTTCTATTTATTCTTGATGAAAAACCTGCAAACATAAAAACTGATGTTGCTGTGTATTTCTAGATATAAACAACAGTTCTTCCAGCAGGCTGACACAATCACAAGGCAAAATAAATTCTCAACTAGCTGAAAAGGTAAAGTACAGGTCCATATAAATACATCATGTTCCCACAGTCCTGCTTTCTTTTCTATGGACTGCTTTTCATTTTAGGTTTAAACGTGGTGGATGAAATCCTGCCATCACTGAAATCAGAGATACAAGTCACAGAGGCCTGCAGAATCATATCCTCATTTTACACCTAAACTTGTGTTTGGTTCATCAGCCGCAGCATTGCTGAAGCACTGAAGTGAAACCAAGTGTAAATCAAGCATATTCTTTCCTGCTCCTCATGGGGAGCTTTACCTTTGGGAGTCCTGACTGCGGGAGACATGAAACTAGTTCAAAGCCATCTTTGCAAGTCCCCTAAAACCAAGCGATGTGACAAATATCTTGTAGAGGTATAAATACTCTAGCATGGCATAAAGACGTATAAAATGAAGTGGGAGTTGTTGATAATCTGCTCATCTTAGCAAAATCCAGAAGTCATGAAAGTAACTGGAGTTTCATTCTCTTTAAGAAGATTAATAAATTTATCAACATTTGATTTTATTCTATAAGCTTACCTTGAAATAGTACTAAGTGAAGTAAGTATCAGAGAATGTCCCTGTTCTCAATACTCATACTGTGCTTCAGCCGCAGTTTTCAATTAAAGCTGAATTTCGCTTTTAATTGTTAACTCTTTTGCTTCATAACACTTTGATAAAAAGGAGAAGAATCCCTTCTGCTTTGGAACAACATGTAATGAATTCCCGGGTGACCAGACGTCCCTGTAAGCCTGTGTATAATTTGATTTTATTTAATCCAGGTGGCTAAGTAA